CACAGTGCTTGACTTGACCGCGTGCTGCACCAGGGAGGGCCGCAGACCTCAGCTGTCATCAGGCTTACATCCCCCACCATTTGGCCAGAAGCAGCAGCACCTGTGGACAGTGGGGTGTGGGGGCACACAGGGTACCTGCATGGCTGGGGGGTGGGAGCGGGGGACAGGGTGCACAAGTCCTTTGCTTGTCACGCTGGTCAAGGACTCCGGGCCATGGGCCCTGTAAGTCTCCATAGAGGTTGTCAGTCAGACCCTTGTCTGTGCACACATGTTCCATGCCACTTGCGTGTCACAATGGTGACATGTAGTAGGTGTTTTGCCACCTCTATGGGATTGAACCAAGAGTGAGGTGCTGGCTGGTCTTGTGCTGGGCAAAGCGTGGCCGGGGGGTTGGTTGGGCTCTGGGAGTGGCTGGACCCACAGCCCAGGGGCACACAGACCCTGGCTAGGACCTGGGTGCCATGACGTGACGTGGGCAGAGGCCTGTGGGGAAGGGTGGTGTGTGAGGTGTCCCCAGAGCGTGGGGAGGGGCAGCTCTCTGCTCTCTAGTCACCCGGCTGGTGACACGCCCTTCCCTCTCTTCCTGTCCCAACCCGAAGTCCTTCCTGCTCCGGGTGACTGGATGCTAAGGAAAGTTCTTCAGTGAGACTTACAAAGCGGCAAGGAAAGGTGGTATTTATAGTGACATAATAAGCCCTAATGGAGATGGAATTACCCCATAAAGGCCCCAAAGAGCCCTAGGGGCCTGAGTGCCACTGCAGCAGCAGGCTCCCAGTACTGGCAGGTGAAGCCCGAGTGTGCGGTGCCTCGGTCTCTCCAGCCCCCCTCGGCCATGCTGCTCAGGGCCCACCTCGGCTAGGCGCGGGGGTCGAGCAGACAGCAAAGGTGAATGTGAAGCAGCAGGTCCACCCCCTGCCCCAACCTGAGCTCCATGTCTGCCGCTGGGGCCTGCCAGAGCCCCGGAGGAAAGGCTGGAGCCAACATTTCAAGGCTTGCTGTGGCCGGGTGGGGTCCCCTACCAGGCACGTCACCTACACTGACCTCTTCGTTCTCATGGCACCCCCACAAGGGGGGCCCTGTTACCCTCCTTTGCACAGGAGCAGACTTGCTTGTTGGAGCCGGCCAGCATTCACCCTCATAGGTACCCCTCTCTGTCACCCGGCTGTCCAGGCACAACCCCGCTGAGCCCCGGGGCGCCCCTGGAATGGAAGCACATGCCCCTCACTTCTGGAGTTCAGGGTCACCTAATGACTGCCTCGCTGGTGAAGCTCCGGGGATGAGGGAGGCCCTCTCTGCCCTCTCACACCGGCCTCAGCCTGCTGAGTTCTTCCTGGTCTTGCAGGTCCTCTGAGCTGTCTCCCCAGCAAGACTGGAAGCCCCCCCCTCCCCGGTAAAAGGTGAATCTGACACCCCTTTGCGTCCTGCCTCCCCGAGAGAGCCAGAGTCACTCAGCACGGCACTCTGACAGGGTGCTCAGCTCCTCCGCACACTCGAGCCCCGAGTCCTAAAGGTGGCCATGCACCTCCATGAGCCCACTCACTCTCCAGATCGCCCTGGAAAGTCGTTGTCCCATTTTTGCCAAGGAAGAAAGTGAGAGCCAAGAGAGGAGAGCAGACCTGCCCCACGTTACAGAGAACAAAGAAGCACAGCGTGGCTACCCAGGGCCAGGCCTGTGTGAACCTGCTGTTTTCAGACCCCATGTGCCTCTGTCCAGTGTGCGGGTGGGCCTGGACCCAGTCATCCCAGAACACCCTGTGGGTGCCACCTCGCCAGAGGTGGAGAGTAAGTGAATGAGTGCGGGAAGGAAAGGGTCCTGCAGACCCGGATTCTGCACCCAACCTTGCATGGCCTTGGGCGAGCCTCTTAGCCTCAGCTGCCTCATCTGTAAAATGGGCATGATAATAATGGTTTTCACCTGCAGGCTGCTGCAGGGCTTAAATGAGATTGTACCTGTACAGCCCTTAGCCCGGCGTCTGGGCGTCTGGCACAGTGAGTGTGCGTTAAATCAAATCGTAGCTATTGTTACCTTCACACTCGAAAGTCACCACGGAAAAGCCGGCTGCTCCCCCGGGCCAAATAAATCATTTCACCCTGGAACAAACTTCAGATCTCATACTGGGTTGTAATTGCTTCCTCCCCACCCCTCCCCTTCAGGCAGGGCACTCTTTGAGGGATGAGGCCGTTTTATGCCATCTTGCCGAGCCCAGTGGAGCCTGGCACACCAAATGCCCTGAGCCACTGAGGGTGCCTTACACACACAGGCGTGTGGAGGACCCCAGCTTTTCCAGAAGAACGCATTCCCCATTCAGCCCCACAGCCAGACTCCATATTCGGTATGGCAGGTTTTTGGGGGAACTTGCCCCAGCAGAAGTTCTGCTGAGTTCCTGCCTCCACTGAGGCACTTGGAGGTCGAGAAGGGATGCTTAAAAATGGCTTAGTATTTGGAGTGAGGGGCGTGGGAGGAAGTCTCCCCATAATGGCGGGGCTTCCCCCACCCCCGGAGCTGGGTTAGAGGCTGTGCCGCCTTCTTTGGGGCTTGTTCAAACTTCCTGGGACCCTTTGAAGTGGGTTCCCAGGCAAATCCTGCCCGCCGGGCTTGGATACCAGACTTAGCTACGGGGCGGGGCCTCTGGGATGGGCGGGGCCTCTGGGATGGGCGGGGCCTCAGCTTCCTGCAAGGACCTGGGGGTCCGTCACCTGTGGTGTCCTGGGGCTTAGGCGCCTTCCACCCACTTCTGCGCAGGTTCAGGGACCTGAGCTTCCAGCTCCTGGGTCCCCGCTGGCACCCCTCATTCCTCTTGGCCTTCCCTTGCCGGGCTGGACACAGTCCCCTGGCTTTCCAAACTCAGCTGAGACGGGAAGCCTTCTCCTCCCACAGACCCCTTCTCTGAGTGCTGGCCTTTCAGCAGGCTTTTGAAAGTCAGACTAAAGGTGGTGCCCACTTGTT